ACTCAGGACTTCCCATCACTATTGTCAACAGAAACTTTCACAAGATCTAAGATCTAAACAACAACCTATACGACAGAACCAGAGTACTGCCCATCACTATTGTCAACAGAACATTTCAGAAGATCAAAGATATACAACAGAATCAGAGGACTTCCCATCACTATTGTCAACAGAAACTTTCACAAGATCAAAGATCTAAAGAACAACCTATACGACAGAACCAGAGTACTGCCCATCACTATTATCAACAGAACATTTCAGAAGATCAAAGATCTCAAGCTTTTGTATGCTCCTTGGGAATCCCCGCCCTCCCTGAGGCGTTGTGACTATCTTCCACACAACCACGCTCATTGCCTCAGTCAGAGGCACTGGCGTCGGACCTGGCGCAAAATGCAAAGCAAACCACGACAAAGAACTACAGTTTTCATTTTCTGCGCTGAGAGATACTAGGCAACTATCACATAGAACCAGAGTACTAAGATGACTATGGCGACAAGATGCTTTCACGATGTCTAAAACCTTAAGCTTGTCTGTTCTCTTTGGGGTCCCCGACCTCCCTGCGGCGTTGCATCTACCCCCCGCAGTAATTCCGCAGAATAACGTCCATCCCCTGAGAGGTCACTGCTGCATCGGACCTCGAGCAAGATCGAAAACGAACTATTCTACAGAACCACAATACTGAGGCGTTGTCTCAGTGTTCCGTTGACGCACGTTCGTGCCCGGAGCCAAAAGCAATGGTGTCGGACCTGCAGCCGCAGGCCACGCGATCCGCGACCCAAAACCAGAGCACGTCCCAGCACCACTATCAAAACACTATCAAAAAAAGATCTACAGCTTATCTGTTCTCGTTGGGAACCCCGACCTTGCTGAAACGTCTGCTAAGCAAAGCTACGTCCACTTTCTCCGAGGTGATTGCGTCGGATCTTCGTATCCACTTGCAACAGACCACGTAGACTCAGGCCACAGCAGTCTTGCCTGTCAGCCTCCGCCTCTTGGCTTGTCCTGTTCCAGAAACACCAAGCGTGCGGTTCACGTAAGCATTTCCCCTCCAAAGCAGCTTCTGGATGTACTTTTCCGCAGCTTGCTCATTCTGCACAGACAGACGTTCAAACAGGCTCATACGATCCACCAAAGTCTTGTTGTGCTCATGCAAGAAGCCTTCGAAATATGGGCGCTCAGGCACTCCAATGAGCCATAAATCGCTCAACTTCGTTGCTCGTGACAACATGACATAGAGGGCCAAACCGTAATCTCCATCCTTCATCCAGGGAGGTTGATTCAGAAAAGCGACCAGGCCAGATCTGGCAGTGATGCCTTGCAGTCCAAAATGAGTCAGCACTCGCTGTGGGGCCAAGGGTACCTGCGCATAAAGGAAACTAAACGAGAAAGACAGACCGACACGGCGACGATACGATGTGTACCAGAGAACACAAAACAAGTTAGTGCGTCCCAAGCCTGTTTCCGAACAAGTCGAAGTTTCTGCTTGGGCGCAACCTCAAAGACCCAGGCCGATTGCTTGTTGAACACAGGCCTCACGTAGAAATGACCCTTGGGTACGTCGTCGCCAGGGACCTGAAACTGACCATAATCACTGTCTGCGACCTCCACCAAAACTCCAAGCGGCTGGTACTGCAGGACCACGCAAGCTGCTCCAGGTGGCGTCGGAGGTTCTTTGGGATGTAGTTCTATGCGTCGCACTATGCACGGGAGCTCACGCGTCAGCAAGGGCTCCGGCAAGATGCACGAAATGCGCACTTCCATCCCAAGAAACAACGGACACATGCCAATCAAATACCCAGTCTTGGTCATGTTCAAATGCTGCAGAGCTGCGCTGACCTGGGCGGAAGACAGCGCGGCGTCGCCGGTGGGCTTGTCGATGGCTTGCGCGAAGTACAGCCGTTCTCCAGCGTCTTCCGCCTCAAGCACTGCTCGCAACTGTTGCAACCGAGCAACCTGCTCCCAGGCAAGTGCACCCCAGTAGGCCCGCAAGAACACCCGGCGCGAAGGCGCGGTCTGGAGGTCTTGCAGTTGCTGGACCTCGTAGACACGACTCTGGAGTTGCGCCCAGAGTGCGTCCGTCATGGCGGTGCCTTGCCGCATGTGCTGCAAAATGGCCACCAAAGCTTGGCCAGAAGCACAAGAAGAGAAACGCCCAGTTCCAGTGAAGTGCACCACAATGCCCATGGAGTTCTTGAACAAGAGCCGCCCCAGCTCGGCTGCGTTGCTGGCCTGCTCTGGGGCTTTGGCTTCTTGAAGTTCCGTCAGTGGCGCTGGTTCTACCGCTGACGGAACTTCCACCCATTCGCAGAGGCTCGCTTGGGCGGCAGGGCGCAACTGTAGGAAGTCGCCCAATTGTAGCCCTATCGGCATCTTGCCGAACCACTCCTGCAGATAGCCGCTCAGGTCCAGCGCCCAGTTCTCACAGCGCTTCACCGAGAAGCGCAGGCCAAGAACATGATATACATCCGCTGCGCTCATCGACAGCTCATCGACGATGCAGGCCAATGACGCCAGGATCTGTTGCTCCAAGGCATCATTTTTGTTCCGCTGCCCTCGGATGGCGCCGCGGTGTAGTGCGGAGTTGGGGGAAATGTTCGCCAGTTTGTGCAGAGTTCTAGCTTCTGCCCCCAACAACCGCGCGGCCGCGTGGGTCGGTGCCCCGGCAGTGTAGCGACCAAAGCCAAAGAAGCGCTGGAACAAAGGTCGCAAGACTTTGGTGTATGCCCACGTTTTGCCCGAGCCCCCCGCGCCAAGCCATAGACAATTGCACCGCTCACTGGGCTGGCCATTGGCGAAGCAGGTGCTTGCTTCGGTGCGCTTCCCCCACATTTCATCGATCGTGCATACAATGGGAGCCACAGCGCGAATCTGCTGTGCGTTGAGCGTGCACTCCTGTCGCGTGTTCGGAACACTTGCGACTTTCTCAGAACTTTCACACGGTCCCATTAGAATCTGGTCCCATTGAACAAGAAACCTCTATGCAATAAACTCTCCCAGAAACATCTACTTAAGGACACCAGTCGTTCGATCCACCCCATGATTTTCCACCAGCTTTGGTCCTCCACCAGCTTCAAGGCATAGTCCCTCGGTCGCAGATTCTGCGCGTTCAGATCCATCAAGAACGGATCCGTCGCAGTCATCGCTTCCAGGCCACTCGGGACAAACTCCTCCTCAGCATCATCTGGAACACCTGGCGTATGGATCAATGTCTGTAAAAAACTAAACGACGAGTAGCTGCAAAAAAATGCTGAGTCCAACTATATCCTCCGTCTCCGGGCGCTATCGTGATAACCAGACAAAATATTTTCTCCGACTCACAGAATTCACAGAACAAAATTATATCTCTCAAGCTCGTGTCGCACAGTGCAGAAGCTCTCAACAAAAATACTGTCTATCTGACGCAGAAGGCCTCCAGACAGATTCTCCAGGTACTGGGATTGCCGGTCAAACATGTCTTGTGCTTCAGCATAGGCCCATGCGCGACGAAGAGCACCATCCAGAGGACGCTCGCCTTCAACGTTGACAGTCACATTGGGCAAGCCACCCATGGCCTCAACCACTTGCTTCAATCTGCTCAGAGCAAACTTCGTGCGGTTGTCGCGTCCCGCCAGGCAACGCTTCCAGTCTTTCTCACGAAAGAGTACTTCTTTCAAAGCTTCTCGGCTCACAGGATGTTCGGCGCAATCCATGCGCTCTATCGCATCTTCGTGCTCGAGATCGTTCTCCACATCAGATCCTTCTATGTCCACGGGACCGACATCGTCCTCCGCGCACATGGACACTTGCCAGTGCTGCTTGTCAAACAACTACGCTACATTGTTACATACACAGAAACACTTTACCACGACTTGGCCCCCCC